GTGTAGTGCTGTGTGGCCCTGTTGTGTTGTGCTGTGTGGCCCTATTGTGTAGTGCTGTGTGGCCCTGTTGTGTAGTGCTGTGACCCCTATTGTGTAGTGCTGTGTGACCCTGTTGTGTAATGCTGTGACCCCTATTGTGTAGTGCTGTGACCCCTATTGTGTAGTGCTGTGTGACCCCTATTGTTTAAACCTGAAGACCTTTGAAGCGTAGTGCTGAATACCCACAAGAGTGTAGAGCTAAAGACTGTGAAGAGGTGGTGCTGGAGAGCACTACAAGATGCAAGAGGGTGCAGAGCTCCTCCCTACACACACAGGCCACAACTACATCGCTGGAGGCCGAGCAGCCAATAAACGCACCCTGGACCAGGTGGTAAAGTAATAAGGTAATTGTGGGAATAAACCCATAAGCCAGTGTGATTACATGACACTTTGGAAGGCACTGTAATGACAGGCTTTGCTATTAATATAAACTTCTTTTGGGATAAATAATCTTTTAGGTAAATAATTTACTGTGATTTTTTGTGTAAGTTATCTTAATTACAAATAACTTACGTGAGATTTAACCGTATGTATGAATAACTTACAAGTTATACACATATGACCTTATGTATAACTCACATGAGGTTAAAACCTTAAGCATGAGTTTTTTTTAACTGAATTTGAGCTTGAAGAAGACTCTGGGATCTAGGATATGAGGACATGGTGAGAAGGATCGGTACCCAAATTTAGCATCGAACGCCGACCCTCCAAGAACCGATACGGGCTCCTCCTCTACAGACAAATGCTATATATAAAAAAAAAGACCTCCGCGTATGTGTACCTTTTGTAAGCATTAACCGAGTGTGTGTGTGAGTGTGTGTGGGAATATAAGCACTTTCCCCTCATGGACAAATGAACGCAACCGCGAGCCAGAAGTTATGTTTCTCACGCCCGCCACAGAAAAACTAATTGGTTAAGCCAGAGGGACAAGCCGCAAAAATCTCACAGCAAGTATCAAGATTTATTCCGCCAACACTACCCATTGCTACTGGTTGCTTGCTGGCGTAAGACACCTTGGGGCTTGTTCAGAATTCATTATGGCTTTTAAGTACTTTACCCCCTCTAAAAAAAATTAGTTAATTTAGTGAGTTTATTTTGTTCACGTGTTATCGTAGAGGGGGATTAGGCGTTAATCTTTTTTATATGTTAACTTAAGGATTATGAGAATGTGGTATATATGTTAATTTAAAGATTATGAGAATGTGGTATATATGTTAATTTAAAGATTATGAGAATGTGGTATACATGTTAACTTAAGGATTGTGAGAATATGGTATACTTGTTAATTTAAGGATTGTGAGAATGTGGTGTATATGTTAATTTAAGGATTGTGAGAATGTGGTATACATGTTAACTTAAGGAGTGTGAGAATGTAGTATACATGTTAACTTAAGGATTATGCGAATGTGGTATACATGTTAATTTAAGGATTGTGAGAATGTGATATACATGTTAACTTAAGGAGTGTGAGAATGTAGTATACATGTTAACTTAAGGATTATGAGAATGTGGTATACATGTTAACTTAAGGATTATAAGAATGTGGAATACTGGATAGAGAAGGGGTCTGAGAAAATGGAAACACGGAACACAATTAGGAGCTCAAATAATCACCATGGCGGTGAATTAGTGAACTAAACTGGTCATTAACGACCATCAGAACACACACTGGTGGAAGGTAGGCATAATCCGATGTGAATCACGATAATGCCGTCATATATACAATTTTAATTAAAGGCTCATGTGGGGGCCCGTAAAAACTTCCTACTGGGAGGTCATTTCCTCCCCCTCCCTCTCCCTCTGAGCTATACACCAGGTTTTAATACTTTCTTTAATTAATCGAAGAGCAATAAGGTGGAATTATGAGGCGCATTTAGAAAGACATGATGCCTCTTGATGGCCAGTTCCCACCTTCTGCAGGAGCAATAATCATCCATTACCTGGCCAGCCTCGCCTCCTGCTCCGCCTCCTACCTCGTCCTTCCTTTTGCCTCATGGTCGCTGGCCTGTTTTTTTTTCTAACCCCTCCCCCCCCCCCCCCACGCTCTCTTCCGTCAGTTCCTGTCTACGGAGTCTATTCTACGTGGTCTCAAGTTTCTGTCTGTGAGCTGTGGGTCTTAAGTTTCTGTCTAGAAGCTCTGTTCTATGGGCCTCAGTTCATGTTCACTCGTTGTTTGATGGGTCTGTCTGTTGTGGGTCTTAGTTTCTGTCTAGAAGCTCTGTTCTATGGGCCTCAGTTCATGTTCACTCGTTGTTTGATGGGTCTGTCTGTTGTGGGTCTTAGTTTCTGTCTAGAAGCTCTGTTCTATGGGCCTCAGTTCATGTTCACTCGTTGTTTGGTGCGTCTGTCTGTTGTGGGTCTTAGTTTCTGTCTAGAAGCTCTGTTCTATGGGCCTCAGTTCATGCTCACTCGTTGTTTGGTGGGTCTGTCTGTTGTGGGTCTTAGTTTCTGTCTAGAAGCTCTGTTCTATGGGCCTCAGTTCATGTTCACTCGTTGTTTGGTGGGTCTGTCTGTTGTGGGTCTTAGTTTCTGTCTAGAAGCTCTGTTCTATGGGCCTCAGTCCATGTTCACTCGTTGTTTGATGCGTCTGTCTGTTGTGGGTCTTAGTTTCTGTCTAGAAGCTCTGTTCTATGGGCCTCAGTTCATGTTCACTCGTTGTTTGATGGGTCTGTCTGTTGTGGGTCTTAGTTTCTGTCTAGAAGCTCTGTTCTATGGGCCTCAGTTCATGTTCACTCGTTGTTTGATGGGTCTGTCTGCTGTGGGTCTTAGTTTCTGTCTAGAAGCTCTGTTCTATGAGCCTCAGTTCATGTTCACTCGTTGTTTGGTGCGTCTGTCTGTTGTGGGTCTTAGTTTCTGTCTAGAAGCTCTGTTCTATGGGCCTCAGTTCATGTTCACTCGTTGTTTGGTGGGTCTGTCTATGTCTGCCTCGTTCTGTTCTATGAGTTTGTATTCCTGTCTACGGGTCTTAGTTTTTTTGTCCTAGGGCTTCTGGTCTTTCTTCCTGTCTATTGGTTTTGTTCGATACTGTATGAGTTTCTGTCTACAGGTGACAGTATCTGTGGGTATAGTTCTACGAGTCTGTTGGTCTACAGGTCGTCTACAGGTCATCTACAGGTCGTCTACAGGTCACAAAGGTCGTCTACAGGTCACACAAGTCGTCTACAGGTCACACAAGTCGTCTACAGGTCACACAAGTCGTCTACAGGTCACACAAGTCGTCTACAGGTCACACAGGTCGTCTACAGGTCACACAAGTCGTCTACAGGTCACACAAGTCGTCTACAGGTCACACAGGTCGTCTACAGGTCACACAAGTCGTCTACAGGTCACACAAGTCGTCTACAGGTCACACAAGTCGTCTACAGGTCACACAAGTCGTCTACAGGTCACACAAGTCGTCTACAGGTCACACAGGTCGTCTACAGGTCACACAAGTCGTCTACAGGTCACACAAGTCGTCTACAGGTCACACAAGTCGTCTACAGGTCACACAAGTCGTCTACAGGTCACACAAGTCGTCTACAGGTCACACAAGTCGTCTACAGGTCACACAAGTCGTCTACAGGTCACACAAGTCGTCTACAGGTCACACAAGTCGTCTACAGGTATTTACAGGTTCTGTCCTCTGGTTTTCAGTTCATCTACAAATCTTAGTTCCTGCCTTTGGGTTGAGTTCTATGGGTCTCTCCGTTTGTCTAAGGGTTCTATTCTGTAAGTCAGTTCCTATGTTTGGGTGTCCGCCCCGTGGGGTCTCAATTCTGCCCAATGGGTTCTGTTCTATGGGTTTCATTTCGTTCAAAAGTTTCTATTCTGTGAGATCTGTCATTTATGTAAATTGTAAATTATGGAAACTATGTAAATTATGACTTTTTTTGTCAATTATGGGTCTGTTCTGTCAATGAATTCTCTTTTACGACTTTTAGTTTTCTACGAATTCTGTTCCGTGGTACTTAGATCTGTCAAAGGATACTATTCTGCGTGTCACAATTCCTGTTTTTCCAAGGATTCTGTTCCTTGGATTTCAATTGTCTACGGTTTCTGTTGTGGCGGGTTTCCTTTCCTATATATATATATGGGTTCAGTGGGTCTCGCGGTTAATGTCTTTGGGTTCTGTTCCCCAGGATGTGGAACAGATGTGTTCACCAGGATGTGGAACAGATGTGTTCACCAGGATACTGCCTCTTGTCTGCGGGTCTCAGACTCCGGTCTGAGTCAGGTGTTATGGATTACTGGTAACTGGTTTAGAGAGTGCCACAATGGTTGTTGGGAATTACCTGACTCCACACCAGGGGGGGGAAAGGGGTGACATGGTAGGAAGGGCAGGAAAGAGAGAGAGGGAAGAAATAGGAGGGGAGCTTGGAAGAGGGAAGGAATGGTAAGGAAGATGAAAAGGAAGGGGAGATGTGAAATGGCCAGAGAAAGAAAAAATAGTAGTGTAAGTGGAACTTGAAAAGGAGATAGCTGTGATAGAGGCATAGATGATAATGTAAGTGAGGCTTACGGAGAGACGGAGTAACAAACTCTCATCTCTCCAGCCAAATAGGGTGAACGAGGAAACAGTTTACAGAGAGATGGGGTAACAAACCCTCACTTCTCCATCAATCGTAAATGTAGAAGAGTTAAGGCAGTATGATTGTAAACTTCTAAGAGACTCACAAGACACTCCCCCAGACAGTGTTACTTCCAATACACATTCTGGAACACTTGGGTTCACACTCTCTGGGGCCGCTTGTGATCTTCATGTTAGGGAAAGGAGGTGAAGAGGAGAAAGTCCACAGCTTCTTAAAAGTAAGTGAATGAAGCTAATAAAGCATTTCAGTGTTTTTATGTGTGTGTGTGCGTGTGTGTGTGTGTGTGTGTGTGTGTGTGTGTGTGTGTGTGTGTGTGTGTGTGTGTGTGTGTGTGTGTGTGTGTGTGTGTGTGTGTGTGTGTGTGTGTGTGTGTGTGTGTGTGTGTGTGTGTGTGTGTGTGTGTGTGTGTGTGTGTGTGTGTGTGTGTGTGTGTGTGTGTGTGTGTGTGTGTGTGTGTGTGTGTGTGTGTGTGTGTGTGTGTGTGTGTGTGTGTGTGTGTGTGTGTGTTTGTCTGCGCATATAAAGTTTGTGAAGCAGTTTACAGCTGATTAAACTACATCGAATCTTTATAGAATAGTGCTGTAGTGGAAAGTTATAGAGGGGGGGGTCTTCTTGAAGCAGTGTAGAGCAGAAAAACAGTGCCAGGCGGCGTATGTACTGTACATAGATTATCTTACATAGAAGTACACATATTTCACAGAGCAGCGTGGCGCGAGTAGAGTAGAGGGATCTTGACAGATCAGCGTGGGAATAGAAAGTACAGGTTCTCTCTCTATAAAAGTGTGGGACTGGGGACATGACGGGTCTAATCTTCATCAGAAAAAAAATGTTTTTGAGTGATATTTCACGATAATGTATAAGCACACTTATTTTACTATTAAAATACGTCCACAACTCCCATCTCTCCCATAGTGTGAAGGGTGGGAGGGAAGGAGTGAGGAGGGGAGGGTAATTTTGTGGTGCATGGGATGGTGGATTAACAAACCTCTCACTTCTCCCATAGAGTATAGGGTGGGTGAGAGTAATGTTGAAGTGTATAGAATGAGTAACAAACTCTCACCTCTCCCACAGTATGTTTTAATGTTCTGGTGTATGGATTGGTTGAGTAAGAACTCTCTCTCACCTCTCCCATAATGTGTGGTGGGACCGGGGTAATGTTGAAGTGTATAGTAAGACGGAGTAACAAACTCTCATCTTTCCCATAGTGTGTGTGTGGGGTGGGAGGGAGGGAGGCATGTTGTGGTGCATGGGAGAACAGAGTAACAAACCTCTCTCATAGTGTGTGTGTGTGGGGGGGGGGAGAAGGGGAGGAGGGGTGGAAGCGAAGCTATAGTGTATGGGATAATAGGGTAACAACCGCTCTCCTTACCCCTCTAATTACTGTAAGGTAGGAGAAATTATGACCGAAGAAGGGGTGACCCAAGCCACTTCCCTCCAAGTACGTCCGGCAATGTTACGTAACCACACTGGCTTAGTGCTTGGCTTGCACAGGGATACCTACACGAGAGCTCTACCCCATCAGTTTACCATAGAATCTACCAGCTGGTGGCCTCAATAACCCTCCAGAGGATGATAAGCCCAACACCAAACCAAGTTTTCTCTTTATATTACTGCTCGTTTAAGGCGCAAAGTTCCTTGTTTAAGAACATCTTCGACCCCCCGTGTCTGGGTCGACCATTAACGACCCAGACGTGATTAATTACGTTAATTGACTAATTAACGTATTCCATGTATTCGATAACGTATTCAAAACAATCGAATACGTTAATTATCTTGTTGCTTGCGCTTCGATTAATAAATCCCATGCCTATATGCCTTATTACGAACATTCATTCATTGATTTTTGAGTTTTTAAATTCTTACTTTTTTAATTAGAATTTACTCCCAGATTCCTTTCGCAATCTCAACACCATCCATTAACGACCCCCTGACGGCTAACGTAAGTCTTTTGTCATCGAAGTTAAGACACAGCATATATAGGAAACGAGGTAATGGGATTCCGTTAGTTCGTTATGAACCAAAACAACGTCAAATAGGTTCTACTGTGAAGACCTCTTGCATATGGCGACTCACAAGACTCACCCCCAGACAAGTGTCACTTCCAGTACTCATCTGGAACACTTTGCGTTCACACTCACTGGGTCACTTGCGTAGTTCAGCGGAATTAGATGAAAGGAAGAAGAAGATGCTGGTGAAGAGGACTTTTAAGACTAAGCTGGAAACGATCACACCTTGTCAGCCCTTGAGGGAGTTTACAAGGATCAACTGGAGTGTTGAGAATCTTAGTGAAACAGTGTACAGCTGTACAGGGCCTCGGTGGAACAGTGTGTGGCTGTAGAGGATCTTGGTAAAAAATTTAAACTGCAGCAGAGGGTCTTGGAACAGCGTGCAGCTGTAGATGGTCTTAATGGAACAGTGTGCAGCTGTAGAGGGTCTTGATGGAACAGTTTGCAGCTGTAGAGGGTCTTGATGGAACAGTGTGCAGTTGCAAAGGGTCTTGATGGAACAGTTTGCAGCTGTAGAGGGTCTTGGAACAGTGTGCAGCTGTAAAGGGTCTTGATGGAACAGTGTGCAGCTGTAGAGGGTCAAGATAGAACAGTGTGCAGCTGTAGAGGGTCAAGATGGAACAGTGTGCAGCTGTAGAGGGGTCTTGATGGAACAGTGTGCAGCTGTAGAGGGCCATGGTAGTCTTGATGGAACAGTGTGCAGCTGTAGAGGGCCATGGTAGTCTTGATGGAACAGTGTGCAGCTGTAGAGGGCCATGGTAGTCTTGATGGAACAGTGTGCAGCTGTAGAGGGTCATGGTAGTCTTGATGAAACAGTGTGCAGCTGTAGAAGAACTGGAAAGTCTTGACAGGACAGTGTGTGGGCCAAGTTACTTCTGAACTTTCATGGAACAACCTTAACAGAAAATTACATCCAATGTATTGGATAATATTTCAAAACAAAGACTTTAACCACATTTGCATTTACTAAGTTACTTTATCAAATGATCTGATTTTATATAAATTGGTTGATTTTATATAAATTGGTCAATTAATTGATAAATTGATTTTATATAAGATGATTGGTTGATAAATTGGCCTGATATATATATATTTATTGAATTGAATATTCAACAACAAAATCTTATTATTTATTGACATTATACAAAATTTATGTACATGGAAATATAAGATGAGAATATACAAAAATACCTGACGAAGCACCAATTGGAAAAAAAGTAATTATGCCATAGAATTATTGTTTGTGTTTGAAATTAACAATATCTTCAAAAACTAGTCGAAACAATGAGATGACATCTCTGTAATAAATTATTATACGATATAATATGGAAATTATATTATCCTATAATTAACTGTGACTTTAAGTGTGCTATGACTGCGTTGATGATTATGAATATAACAATGTGAGATCTTCAAGAATCAATTATAGTCAATTATAGTTCTCATGAAATGCTGGATTAATTCTTTCTCTATAAACGGATGACACAGCGGATATATATACTTTGAGAAACCTTGCTAAATGAGGTGTTAAGGGTAGTTGAACACTGTCACCCACCTCCCGCTCTGGTGTAATCACCGGGGTGGTCGTCTACTGTTAGGCTGGGGACATGATTCACCCGCTGGGTGTTGTAGCACGCCAGCTGGCTTGGGTGAAGTACACCAGCTGGCTTGAGTGAAGTACACCAACTTGCTTGAGTGAAATACACCAGCTGGCTTGAGTGAAGAACACCAACTTGCTTGGGTGAAATACACCAATTGGCTTGAGTGAAGAACACCAGCTGGCTTGGGTGAAATACACCAATTGGCTTGAGTGAAGAACACCAGCTGGCTTTGGGTGAAGTTCACTGCTCTACACCACATAACACCATCGGTTCATTGGTGTTCGATCCCCATAGGTTGATGACTTTCCAATTCCTGTTGATGAGGGGAATTGCAGTTCGCAGTTCTTGCGTTACTGAGCGAAGTATTCTTCGTGCCTATACTCCCCGTCAGTATACGGCGGTATAAGGCAGTATACGGCTGTGCTGCCTATAAGTTACCAGTCCTTCAAGATGCTGATGCGGTTCGACAGTCAGCACTGTTGAACAGCTACGAGCAAACACTTCAATTAACTCCTGCAAATTCGTTAATTCCATATATTAGTCAAATTAAAAAAACCTTATTTGTAAACAGCAATATATATATATATATATATATATATATATATATATATATATATATATATATATATATATATATATATATATATATATATTTATAAATGACTTTGCAAAACTTAAAAGTACATTATTCATTTATACAAAAATATGTAATAATAATTATTAATTGCAAACTGTATTTTGAAAGTTGCGTGAACAATTATAACATGACACTTAACTAAATTAAATAATAATCGTGAGTAAAACGTTACTCATCCTTGAGGTTGAGTATTTAAGGGAGTGAAACGTACTCATTGAGACTGGAGAATGGTCCAGGATGGACCGAAACGTCGTCGTCGTTCCTTCACTTTCTAGTGTGTGGTCTGGTCAACATACTTCAGCCACGTCATTGTGACTCATCGCCTGCAAACGTACTCATTCTTTACGCTGAGTATTTAAGGGAGTGAAACGTACTCATTTTTGAAGCTGAGTACTTAGGGGGAGTTAACCATGCTCATGTTTCGGACTGAATATTTAAGAACTGTGAACTGTACTCATACTCCATGCTGAGTATTTAGGAAGAGTGAGCAATACTCATGGCTCAGGCTGGCCAAATAAGAGAGAACCATACTCATCCCTCATCCTGGGTATTTAAGGTGAGTGAACTGTGCTCATCCTTCGGGGAGAGTTATTAAGAAGAATGAACGTTACTCACCCTTCCAGATACGCTCCAAAGATGAGTCAAGCAGCGAGCCCCGACGCCATTCGAGTCAGCAACCCAACAACAGTGCCGCCAATCCTTCCCTTAACGACTGAGACAAATAGCACATTCCAGTCTGTCCATCTGCTTCTTCCCTCACACGTCCAGCATAATATTCCTGGAATCCGCAGCAGCCTGGAATATGGCCCTCCTGTGCTGGGGGGGGGGGAGGTTTTAGCGTAGTCGTCGTCGTTATCATTAAGAAGATGACAGATCTTACTGGCTGGGAGCAGCTCATGGAGGTCCTCACAGCTTTCTTCACCCCAAGATGTAAACAAATATTCCCCCCCCCCCTCCGTCCCTCCCTCCCCAATCGCAACTTTTACTCCTTGCAACGGAATCTCTCACTCACTCGTTGCAATGAAACCTCCTCCCATCGGTGGTGTTAAAGAGGATGAGGTTGGTGACCACCTTGGACTGCCTATGAGCATCTTGAGGGCGGTAATATACCGAGAGCTGAAACAAAATGGGATAATATCTGTAATTGGAAATGAAAAGTGAAAGGAAGAAACAATTATCTATGGGTCATCCTGTATAGTCTGCAGAACTGTAGACGTTACTACTGGTAGGCTTAGGTTAGGTTATGTTATGTTAGGTTACAACAGTCAGAAGTAGTCGTCTGTTCCTGTGTCCACATATGATAAAAAATTAACTGGGAATTTACACCACCTGCTGAAGTAGCTCTGACTAAATGTAAACTATGTTAGCCAAACTATTCACATAATTATGTAAATGAATGTGGAAATCCACTACCACTCACAGGAAGTGGTTTATAGGGCCACTATCACTCACAGACTGGTATAGAATTCACTGCCACTCATTGGATGAGTATGAGGGGGGGGGGTCCTCTACTACTCACAGGATAGGGGTGGGATGCATAGTTCACTAAATTAATCACTCGGCTTCTCTTATTTGAAACTTTCCTCCATTACAACCTACTTTTTTCCTCTGCTTTGCCACCTCCTCCCCCACTCTAGGACCCTTTGACTACTTTCTTCCTTCCCTCACACCCACTCACCACACTCATTTGGAATACTCATCCCCTAAATCAATTTTTTTCTGAACATGTAAATCTCCCCCTCACCTCTATATTCCCTTTTCCCTATGAGCATCTCCCCATTTTCTATTCCAAGTATCAATTTGTTAAGGGGGTCCTCATCCCAACAAGAAATTTCCCCCCTAACTTCTCCTCCATGAACTTTCCCCCTTACTAATCCCCCATTTTAAACCCCCCAATGTATACTTCACCCTTCCACCCCTCCCCTCCTCTTCCCCCAGGAATACGTCCTCCTCTCCCGCCTGGCGAGAATCATCCCCTCTGACCATTACGTACTAACGGCCATCATTATCACAGCTGTGTCAAACCTCTCTTATAAACTTGCCCTGGAAAGTCACACGAGAGAGCCGGGGTAGTTATACGTGGAGACATTCAGGGGAATGAGGGAAGGAGGGGGGAGGGAGTTGACGGGGACTTGGGGGGGGTGAGGGAGGCTTGACGGGGGACATAAGGAAGAGGAAAGTGAGTGGTTGACAGGGAGTGAGAGTGAAAAGCAAGAGGATAGAACAAGATACAATATAGACCAACAAGAAGAAGCACAACCAAATAACACAAGTATATTAACTCACTCACCAGCAGAATGCTACACATATATATGATAACGCTAACATAACAGTCTTGTGAAGGGTGTCAATAACACTATCTTGGGGCCGTCCCGCGGCACCTGTACCAACCCCTCACCTAACTTTTCATACAAAAAAAAATATTGTGGATCCAGTTAACTATCCTCTTGTAACCAAGGAGCTCTCCCCCCAACCCTAACCAACCCAGCCAGACCTGAAGGCCCTCCTCACCCCACATTAACTCTTCCACAAAACCCCTCAAAGAAACCCCCTCCATGGTGGCGATAATGAACACACTCTAAAATACAGCTGAAGAATAACCCCCGCACCGTACAGAAACTGGCGGCGGCTCATTAATCCTCCCCAAGAGTGAGCAGCAGCTGAAGAAGCAGCAGCTGAAGAAGCAGCAGCTGAAGAAGCAGCAGCACCCACGTCTAAGAA